CCGGCCTGCGGCCTCAGGCGTCGTGCCTGGGGCTCGTCCCTTGACCCGGTCACGACCTGTGTCCCCTGAATGTCGGCTGGTCGCGCTTGATGCGATCTGTTTGTAATTGGAAGGGTGGGGGAGGCCAAGCGATGCGTGTGTTTGCCAGTGGTTTGTATAAAGCTTACCTCAGGTAGTGGCATCGCCTTCGTGGTTGTGGAAGTTGTTAAACTTTTACCTCGGGAAGGATGCCCTGTTTTGGAGATGAGCTCCAGTACCGTGCCCTCCATACCCTACGTTTCAGATTGTGGGGCAGGCCGAGTCGCTCAGGTGAGGCTGTGCCTCTCCATAGCTTTCCAGGAGCTGCCATCCCTGACAGGGGCCAAGTCCTCTTCCCTCACCATGGACTGGAAAGGCCAAGAGCAGCAGTGATGAGCAGTGCTGGAGCCAGACTTGCCATTTATTTAGCAGGCCTGTGGGGTGTGTGCTGCTTTGAATGGGTTCGAGCAGCACATTGTGTGGCCCAGGGCAGGGTATTTTCATAATTCAAATAGTAGCTGTTGGACTGGAAACTCCTAGAAGAAGGTGATGAAAGCAGGGGTAGGAAGCAGGAACTTCAGGGGGAGAAACTCCTTTTCTAGTCATTGAGAGGGCATACATGAAAGTTTAAAACCTTCATATGTACCAGACTGTATAGTGCTAACATAACGTTTATTAAGAACCTCAGCACCTTGCCTGTCGGCTTTGGTGGTGTGTAGGATCTTGCCTACAGATAGAAAGAGCCTTTGCTTTAACTTCATCATCTCTTCCTACTTGCCTGGTGAACTTGTACGTTGCAGCTGTTAACAGAGCGTGTGCATGCTTTCTGTGCTTGTCTCACGTGCCCGAGGTAACTGCAGACTTCTATGAATGAGAAATAGTCAGTGCTCCTGCTTCAAAGCACTGGGAGTTAAAAAAAAATCACATTAGCATGCAGACGTTCCTATTACAATCACCCCTGCTGACAAAGAAAGTAGTAACATCACCAGAAGCAGAAAAAAAAAAAAAAATTTTTTAAAAGCAGCCCCCAAGCCCTGTAAATGCTAATGAGTCATGTGGGACAATAAATTGAACCACTGGTAGGAGAGATACTTTTAATACCTTTAGAAATATGTGAGGAACTTCTTGACTCATCTAGTATCAGGCTTACTGATCGTAAGTAAGATGTGAAGAAATTTCAAGTTCAGCATTATGGGACCAATTGTACCATTAGAGATTTTTTTTTAATATGAAACTTTTAGTGAATTGATTTAGGAAGATAATGGCAGATATGAAAAGAAAACTTGACGTGCCGAACATTCAGCAAAGATCAGTTCTTAATCAGTCTAAGACAGGAACAGTATTAAATCAGAGGAGGTCTAACATGTTATACAAGTTATTGAACCAAATTATTATAATTTGAAGATTGAAATTAAAGCTGAATGAGAGTTTATGCCTTAACACTGAAGACTCTGCCAAAAGTAGTTATTATTAAAATACTATTTTGACCAAAGAAGTGTAATAATGCAACACTGACTTGGGTTAGGTGCTGGATATGTACGCTGGGATTAATACTGGCATAATCAGGTCTGTAGTTCTGCAAGTGAAAAAAACTCAGGGCTTGAAAAACCATTAATGACTTGTTGGGGTTTTTTTAATCCTTTGAAAAATATTTAAGATCATGTTTCAGAGACTTGTCTTTTGGTTTTGCCCATTGACCTTCATATAAATTTAATTAGTAAGAAGTAGAGGAAGAGAGCTGATCTCACACATCAGCTACCTCATCTCTGTTGCTTCGGGCAACATTCAGTCTCTAACAGGCTGCTAAAATTTTCAGTATTTGAATGAACATCAGTGAAGAAACTGTTGGTCCTTCTGTGCGCTTTCTCTTTCCTTAGAGCGAGCGTTCGTTGTGTTTCTGCCTCTTGGTATGGGTCTAAGTGATGCTTTGTAATAAATGACAAAATACCTGCTTACTTATAATGAACCAGTTGGCTTGTTCCAAGCAGGGTTTTAATTATGAGGAATTTTTTAATTTGGAGATTCTTACAAATGGCTTACAGAGTGGGCTATGCATTATTTCCTTGCTGACAGACCTCTTCCTTACCTTCTACGTCTGCATCATAGGTGGTAGTTCTTTGGCAGCTACAGTCACTGCCAGCTGGGAAAAGTTGTCTTATTCTACTATTGACAATTGTCTTGGCTGAGTTAACTGAGAATTTTGGTTCAGATTTGTGATAAAACCTTTCTTCCCTTCTCTAGGCATTAAGAACTTTAGTTGGTAAACATGGTGTTGCTGCATGACCAGATTTAGAGTAACGTCAGGTCTTTGCATTGTGCCATTGCGTTCTGTATGCTGTATGTCATTGCCTGGATGTGGAGTTTCTTGCAGAGCTGTCCCAGAACATCTTACATGAGCAAATAGCTAAATGAAAGTATGAAATCCCCAGGTGCTACACACGAATGTGTTCGAAATGGTAAGGAATCGCTGTCTTTTTGCAGCAAAGGCGGCTGGAGCAGGCCGGATGAATGGTGCTGAGGTGGCTGGTGTGAGGCTTGCTCCCCTCTCCTGCCGTGCACAGGCTTCTGGTGGTGCATGCTAACCGCCTTCTCCTCATAAACAAGCACAGGAAATTCTGTCATACCTCTTCTTCCAGCAGTTACAGGAAAGGCTTTTTCTGTTTCTTTTGAGTATCAGTTTGCTGTTTCTTGTTGGTGAACTCAGTTGCAGGGTCCCCTACCAGAGAAGGCCACTGCTTTAGGACCTTCTTTCCCCTGGTCTAGATGCCAGTTTTCTCTTAAGATTCTTTAGGTCCAGGAAGTTACATCTTTGATGTTAGAGACGTGCTAGATTTGATGGTAAAATCAGTGCTTTAATTAAACGCAAAAGTTTTAATACCAAAGGGTATTCACCAAATACCAAAGGGGAAATCTGGCGGTTCTAATGTGGCTTTTTGTTTGGTTGGGTTTTTCAATAATTTAATCAAAATTTTTCCTTTCCTTTGAATCTGTGAATACCTGAGTATCTAACAGTTTACTTTTCAGGAAGGGGGGGAAGCCAGGCTGCCTTTCTAGAAATGATGTGATGTACCAAATGTGAAATTTTAGAAATGAGAGAAATGCCCCTTAATTTCTTCCAATAGTAACTGGTGATTTTAGCAAGTAGCTGAAAGTATAGTGTTAATTGTGACTTTTATCTAGCTCATGTGAAAATAGCTTGTTGTAAGTAATGAGTGCAGTTCCTTTACAGTTGTCCTGAAGTGCAACTTCCAGAGCCAAAGTGACCTAAAAGATGTATATACATATCTGCCATGATCTCTAATGTCTGTTCTTTGGCATATATACCAACCAGTGGAACTCATTTACAGGTCTTGCTTATTTCCAAAAGACCTTGTGCACATGTTTTTGACTCTTTCGTGTAGGTTTTGTGATCGTATCACAAACAGAACAGGGACTATAGAGCTTTCACTTTTCTGGTGGATTTTTTTAAAACAAAATTTGGGAAGTAAAGACCTTCAAATGCAGAGAGGCATTATGTCTATGGCATTAGTTTTGATTGTCGAGTTTGTTTGTTTTTATTTTTTTGTTTCACCTCTTATTCCTCTACTTGGTTGTTCGTAATTATTTCTGTAGGTCTTTGGACTTGTGGTTTGGGGTTTTTTTACTTCTAATTAAAATAAGTCCCTTTGGTGTATTTTAATAAATTATAATTTAGTGTATTTAACCTTTTGTTTATAAGGTGAGAAAGAAAACTGTCTAATCAAAGAGCAAAGATGCAGAGCACTTCGAATTACCTCTGGCTGTTGTCTGACATACTAGGACAGGGAGCTACTGCAAATGTTTTCCGGGGACGACATAAGGTTTGTGAGGAATTTCTAGTCTAAATAGCATGTAAAACTAAAGCCTTTCCATGTGTGGGTAGCATCATGAAATCAACAAAAAAACATTTAAGATTTAGGCCTAAAACAATTATATCTTTGTAACTATTCATACTTAATCTTTAATTTTTAATATTCATTCACTGAACTAGAACACTGTACAGTTATTTCTGAGGTGATGTTTTTAATATTATATTACTTGTCTGTGTAAAATATTAATTATTACTAATTCTTCAGTTTGATGGAAAGAACATTTCTTTGCTAAGAATTTAAATAGGGATGCAAGTCTTATCAGTTCTTATTACATGATACGTTATTTTTGACTTTGTTAAACTCTCTTTTCATAGTTTTTCTGTGTTCTTTTGAAAGAACTATTCTGTTTTTAAAAAGCACATACATTTTGTGGGCTAATGTTGAGTTTCCATTCTACTGATCTGTTTGCTTTTAGTCTATATTAAACTAAACCAATATATACATACTTTTTCAGTAGGCTCTTAATTTCTACCCTAACACAAAATACTGTTTTGTACTATTTTTCATCTGGGTATGCTTGTATGCACAACAGAAGATCTCAAAATGCTTGGATAACGGGTACGTGTACATTTACAGTCATGCTTCTGTTTGATTAGTAATTTGTTTGTTTTGAACAGAAAACTGGGGATTTATATGCTGTAAAAGTATTTAACAGTATAAGTTTCCTTCGTCCTGTGGATGTTCAGATGCGAGAGTTTGAAGTATTGAAGAAACTAAATGATAAGAACATTGTCAAATTGTTTGCCATCGAAGAAGAGGTAATGAAATGTGGTAGTTACGGTCTGAGTTGCACAGTAGTAACCACACTAACAGTCTTTCTCCTTTATCCATAACTCTAGAGGATAAAGTTACATTTTTAAAGAACGGTAACATATATGATGATATAAATACTTTGACCCAACCACCACTGGGTTTTGTTTTTCTTTCTCTTTTGTTGTTGTTGAAAGAACATGTTTGCTTTCGATGTTCAGGCACTGGTTATGGTTCTTCAAAGCCATTTGAGAAGCTGTTGTCCTAAACTTTATCTTTAATTAGGGTTTTTAAGCTCTCTACGTATTTGAATATTTAACACATACTGATAGTTGGAGGTGTTTTCAGTAATCCTGACAATATTCTGCTTTTGCTTTGCAACAAACTGAAATAATGACAGAGGACATGTAGTTAGTTATGAATTATATGGAGTTAATTATGAATGGTATGTATTGCAGTAGTGTGCTGGTTTCAGTTGGGATAGAGTTAATTTTCAGTTGAAATGACCCAGGTGCTGAGATTAATAAAGAGGAAAGCAGGACAGTTGCTGCTCTCTGTTTTTCTGTGCTGTAGTTTCTCATTTGTCTACTTATCAACGCTGCTGTCAACCCTCTAAGTACCTAGAACTTGAGTCTTTCTTAATTTTTTTTCCCCTCTCCAAGCTAGAATACATGAAACAATACAAAAATTCACCTGTGCTACTTTTGAAGATGATAACCAGAATAGGATGTATGATCTAGCTACAGATTTTTTTCTATCTTTTTTCTTTGAAAGTAAGAACCTGTGGTCATATGTAATTTCTGACATTGTTTTTACAATAGTCACAGTCTTATCTTTTTTTATTTTTTTTCCAGACAACAACTAGACACAAAGTACTAGTTATGGAATTTTGTCCATGTGGGAGTTTATATACAGTTTTAGAGGAGCCATCTAATGCCTTTGGTTTGCCAGAGTCCGAGTTCTTAATTGTTTTGAGAGATGTGGGTATGTACGCTTTGCTCTGAAGTCTGTGTCATTGACTGAAATGAACTCATACTTGTTTTGTTTATCTTGAAACAGAAAGAGATGAGGAATTTGAATGACTGTCAACTAACTGAATGAGTTAATATGGTCATATGGAGTCACATCTTTTATTTATGTCTATATTGTTATAGATTATAGCTGCATTAAGAAGCCATTTCTGTTTAAAGTTTTGCTATTATTTTCTTTGTTTGTTTCAAGATTATTTGTTGCATGTTTGACTGATTCCTAGTGATAATTAATCTCAGAGTAGATTAGAAAAATTATGAGGTTTACCTGTGTCTGCCTGTTATAAAATTTTCCTCCATTACTTTATGGGAAAGATGTTGCTGAAAGCAAGAAATACTGTAATTAGCAGTTTGGAAAAAAAAAAAAAAAGGCAAAAATGCTTAGCATGTTCTCTTGTCCTGGTCTTTTTGTTAATTGAGTGTCTGTTCGTCTTTCTACTGGAATTAGGAGTTTGGGAAAAAAAAAAAAAAAGGGCAAAAATGCTTAGCATGTTCTCTGGTCCTGGTCTTTTTGTTAATTGAGTGTCTGTTCGTCTTTCCATTTCCCAGTGAGAAAGTAAACATATGTCTTCCTAGCCTCAGTTACAATTCAGGGCTTGTGCAGTCTGTGTCAAGATGTATATACAAATTCTGTGTGTTTTGGTTTTGTTTGTTTGTTTTTCTTTTAATTGAAGTGGCTGGGATGAATCATCTCCGGGAGAATGGAATAGTGCACCGTGACATCAAACCAGGCAATATAATGCGTGTTATAGGTGAAGATGGTCAGTCTGTTTACAAACTTACAGACTTTGGTGCTGCAAGAGAACTTGAAGATGATGAACAATTTGTTTCTCTCTATGGCACAGAAGAATATTTAGTAAGCCCATATGATTTCACTTTCTGTTGAAGGAAATGTTAGAACCCCAGGGCCCTTTGTGATGAGAGTTAAATAGGTGAAAAGTCAGACTGGGAGTTGGTATTTAAACCTCTGTATTGTAATTGTTCTTATAACTTTCTACCTTGTTCACCTTGGTTCATGCCAGTTCTTCTGCTGATCTGAGCACAGTAACCTTTAGATAATGCCCAGGTCCAATTTCCACTGTTGCTTTGAGTGAAAGGAAGAACAACAGTATTTTAGTTATGAATGTTATTATCTCTGTAGATATTTTTCAGTTTGTATTTGAGCTACTTGGATGATGTTAGGTGTAGTTAAGATTCACTTGACAGTTAACCAAAGAGAAGCAGGCAGAGAGGCATCAATACAAGCATCTTGGGTGTAATTTTCTTCCTGCCATGTTTTCATATATGTAGTATCATAACTGATAGTCTTCTCTGCTGTATATCCTTTTCCAATTTGGTTTCTGTTGTTTCCAAATGAACTGGAGGAATAGTGGCTTTCTTCTCTTCTTTAGTGGTGTTTTATTCTACTAGTCAATCCTCAGTTAAATTTTAAAACAGTTTTTGCAAACTTTTGATAGAAGGGGCTATCATACCTAGGAACTCTTTTGTGATATTCTGTCAGAATAACTTAAGTTCTATGCTACAGGCTAACTTTGCTTTTTGATTAAAAAGCTGAAAGTTTGGAATGGCAAATTATCTTGCTATGAAATGATAGATTGGGGTCTTCTCTTTATAGTGTTCATAAAGCAATTGTAACATTTTTCTTTCTTTTTTTTTTCTTAGCATCCTGATATGTATGAGCGAGCGGTTTTGAGGAAAGAACATCAGAAAAAGTATGGAGCAACAGTTGATCTGTGGAGCATAGGGGTGACCTTTTACCATGCTGCAACAGGGAGTTTGCCTTTCCGACCTTTTGAAGGACCTCGTAGAAACAAGGAAGTGATGTAGGTAATCTAGAAGGAGAATTTTATCTGTTTGTAAATTAAATCAGTCCATAAAACACTTTTTATCAAGAATTCCTACACACATATAGTAAACATTGAAGCAGTGAAAATATTTAAGGAAAAACATTCTTTAACTTTGTTGTGGTTTAACCCCAGTAGGCAGCTGAGCACCACTCCTCTGCAGTGTGATGGGGAAGAGAATTGGAAGGGTAAAAGTGCGAAAACTCGTGGGTTGAGATAAAGACAGTTTAATAAGGAGGGGAAAAAAAAAAATCCCCGCTCCTAAACTGAAAGGAAAACAAAACCAAGAAAAACAAGTGATGCAAAAAACAACCCCAATTATTCACCAACAGCCAACTGATGCCTGGTCAGTCGCTGGCCAGCTGGCACCCTGGCAAATTTCCCCCCAGATTTTATTGCTGAGCATAATGGCATATGATATGGAATATTCCTTGGGATCGGCTGTCCTGGATGTGTCCCCTCCCAGCTTCTTGTGCACCCCCAGCCTACTCTGTGTTAGGGCAGTGTGAGGAGCAGGCAAGGCTTTGATGCTGTGTAAACACTATTCAGCAATAAAGAAAACATCCCTGCGTTATCAACATTGTTTGGGTCATAGATTCAAAAACACAGCACCATATGAGCTGTTATGAAGAAAAACAACTCCATCCCAGCCAAAACCAGTACAAACATTCTGCTTCAAAAAGGATTTTACTGTGTGGCACCTTAATCCCTGTATTAGGCATCAGAGCTCGCCCAATATACTGATGTTTGTCCACATGTCTTTCCTACACCATGACACTGGGCTGGTCTGTTGCAGTGTAATGTATGTAACTTGGATATTCAGACAAAATTCTGGTGTTCTGAAATGGATTTTCAGTGCTGCAAATTTTTGTTGTCTATTAAATGATTGTCTTTCTAGGCAGTCTTGAAATGAGACTGCCTCGCTACCCAAGAGACTGCTGTTTTTTGAGTAGCGCAGTTGTGGTCTGTGGCTGAACAGAACAGGGGGAGCTCTGAGTGGGAACCAGCAGGGGTGTCTATGACATGCTGGTTGGAATTGATTCCTTTTTCATCTTAGTTCTGGTCTAGTGGAAGATATCCCTGCACATGGCAGGGGGGTTGGAACTAGATGATCTTTAAGGTCCTTTCCAACCCAAACAATTCTTGTTCTGTGTGTTGCGTTTAAAAAAAATAAAGCAGGGTGGTACTTGGGAACTCTTAACAGGTCAATAATATCTCTGTTCTGATACTCCATGCAAAGCTGACTCTGGTTTTCTTAGTTTAAGGAATTGCCCATCCTGTGATTATCTCACAGGCATTCTTGTTGTGTCTGCTTGAGAGATAAGCAAGGAATACGTGTTTTATATGTACCTTGTCCTTCTAAAATGAGAAGGCGCAACTGAAGTTTTCTGTTGCCAAAAGCCCATTGCTCCTAATTAATTTCATGAGAAATTTCAGAAATACCAGCCTGTTTGGTACAAAGTTAGATGGTGTCAGATTGGATCCAAATTGCTGAATATTTCCAAGTTAAAATAATTTCTCAAAGCCTGCCTTCTGTTCCTGCTTTATCCCTAAGTGACTTTGTGGTGACTAAATCTCATCTCTTGCCATGGAACCTGCTAGAAGATAGTCATGTAAATGCCTAAACTGAACTGCCTTGGAAATCTGACTTGGATTAATTAACACTTGTGGAAAAAATTTCAGCTTCCTTCAGGGGTGCCTGAAATCTCCTAAATTTTTCCCAAAACTGATACGGACAAATTTGTTTCTCCACCATAGCCCGACGTGTTTCCTTTTCATTGTTTGCTGTTTTAGCACCACACTCTGTCAGCTTATAAGTGAAGCTGCCTAATTATTGCACCAGCTACAAATTTAGACCAACCTGTTGTTCAGATCTGATATCCCTTTGAGGTTCAGTTACTAGACCTGTGTATGTGTAAGAGGTAGTAGTTGAAGTCTCTATTATTTTTATAATGTATCACAGGTATAAAATAATCACTGGAAAGCCTTCTGGTGCTATTTCTGGGATACAGAAAGCAGAAAACGGACCAATTGAGTGGAGCTGGGAGATGCCTGTTTCTTGCAGTCTTTCAAAGTAAGTTCGAACTTCTCACATAATGTTTCAGTGCGATTTGATTGGGCTTTTCAGGTTATTATTTTCTCAGGATTGGGTCTTTGGAACAGAGATCTGACTGTTGCAGTTATTTTCTTGTACACTTAAGTAGATTGATATAGTCTACTATTAGCTTATCAAGTGTTTTTTCTTCCTGCCTGTCTGAAGGTTAGTTTTATGACTGCTAGTTTACAAATGAGCACCTGAGAATCTGAAGGGGTATGAGTAAAAGAAAGATTATTACTGTATTTTCTCCTTTTTTTTAAGAGTGTGAAGATTTAATAAACTTGGAATTGACAACCTCCTTTCTTGCAAGAAGAATGTGACTTCAGACATTACAGAGATTAGGCAGTAGGAAGGAAGTGATGAGAAAAGGCAGTTCAGAGACTTGCATTTTTGCCAGGAAAAAGAAAAATCCCATCAGCGCACGCTTTAACATATTCTCATAGTATCTTTTAGATTTTTTTGTCATCACACTTTTTTGCTTTGTATTTCATAATACTCAGTAGGAAGAACCATGGAGGATCTAATCTCAATATGATCTTAAAAACATCTCCCATAACCCATTTACCTATTTATCTTTCTGAGACTTCTTCAGCACTTTAAAGTTACTACTCTTTCATGGTGAAGAGAGAAAGAAATTGTTCTGTAAACAGACTCTAGAAACAAACCTTTCTGAAAGCCAAATATGTAGATCCATAAGGGGTGTAGAGCGGAAGTCTGGTTGATATCAATTCATTAGTTTATAGCATGCAGAACTTAAATTTTATATATATTTTTCATTATTTCAGTTGCTTGCTTATTCCATATACTTGAAGTGCTTGATATAATAAAGGAAGCAGATTTTTTCATGCAACATGTGTTTACAGTAATATTTTCAAGTAGCTTTTAAACAGTGTTTACTGTTTTAAGTTTAGTACTAAAGTGAGTTTGAGCACAGCATCCACTGACCTCTCATGAGGCCATCTGTGTGCTTGTAAGCCACTGGAGCTTGCTTCAGAATGTCACTAGTTTTACCACTGGATTCAGGTGCATAATGTTAAAACTTCAAAGAGGTTGTTCACGATAACACAGGAGTAGGATCCATAAACTTCCTTGTAATTCAGATTCTCAAAGGAGAAATACAAGAAATTTAAGCTGGCCTTTCTCCTAGGACAGTAATGACTGTAAAGCAATAGCTGCACATTTTTCTTTGCAGCGGTTGAGCTGCATGGGTGGCATACTTACTTAGCCCCATCTCAGTCAGGATGAGTCCTGTTAGCGTTGACAGTTTAAATAATGGTCTTTGCTGACCCAGCTGACTTTGACTGAAAGCAACAGAGTGTGCTCACACAAGCAGCCCAGCCAGCAAACCATGAACAGCAGTAGCTTCTTTCAAAGTGACAAGCTGTGGTAAGTGTGTGGAGTGAGCTGGGTAAAAGACTCCTGCCCAGCAGTTGTGGAAGGTGCCCTTAGTTCTACAATGTAGGCTTATTTAATTGCATGCCATTTTTCCAATGCCTGTGAAATATGTCAAATACCAATGAAAAACAATGGACATTATTGTTGAACATGTTGTTCGGTAGAGGGGTAAAAAGCGCTGGAGTGTTCTTTAAGAGGTAATAGATTTGCATTCACGAGACAAGGCAAATGAAGTATTGCAATTAGTTACAAGTTGAAAAGATCCAAGTAGATCCAAATTGTCTTATCTTCCTGGTGCGTTCTAGGGGTCTGCAGGTACTGCTCACACCTGTCCTGGCAAATATCCTTGAAGCAGACCAGGAAAAATGCTGGGGATTTGACCAGTTCTTTGCTGAGACGAGTGACATACTGCACCGAGTAATAATCCATGTCTTTTCGCTGCAGCAGATGACCTTGCACAAAGTTTATATTCACAGCTATAATACGTAAGTGTGCTCCTTCTCTATTTTCATTACTTTGCTCTTACTGAGACAGACAGTACTGTGACCTCAGATCATCAGTGTAACAAATTCAGTAGCCTTTCCTTGGCAGTTTGTCTGAGGAGAAAAAAGCTTGTAATTCTGCTGTGTAGTCATAGAAGCTTGTTGACCCAAAATAAAAAAATTGAAGGTCAAATCAACTGATCTTGAACTTGTTTTGTCACTGATTAAGACCACAGACTTAATCCTTGATGTGTTACAATGCATCTGTGTTCTTAACTGATGCCAGCTCGTCCGACATTTGTATGTGTTACTTATTTACAAAGTAGTTTTCCAGAGACTGTGTTCAACTCTTGCTCTTCCTATCTTGTCCTCAAGAATACAGAATGTGCACATCATCTGTCTGGCATAAAACTCTCACAGGGGATCTGAAGCTGTAATTGGTACAATTAGGATCCCAACTTAGAGAGAGTTGACTTTATTGTCATTAAGTTCTGATGTTAAAAGCTGAAAAGTCTGGTTTACAGTTGGATACAAAAATAAGTGCCTTTTCTCTGCCTTATTACAGATAATCCAGAGCATGTGTTATTCTCTAATACATGAACAGATACAGGAATTTCATCCAATGTGTAAATACAATTCTGGCCTGTTCCAATTTTTCTATTGTCATTTGTATTTTAAGGGAGCCCAAATACTGTTTTTGCAGAGAACTCTTGCTTATAACTCAAACTGCTATTTGTACTTCATTTTTTTAAAAAAATATTTTATTATTATTTACGTTTATGATTATTTATATACTAGCTGTAGTATTAAGAACTGACAGTGTACTAGTGCTGCACAGCAGGCAAATTCGGCCTTCCTGTTATTGTGCTTAAGGTTTTTCTTCTTTGTGGGAGGTTTTGTTTGTTGGCTGGGGTTTTTTTTTGTGATGGGGAGGGGGTGGGTAGGGAGAGGAGGAGGTTTGTTATAAATTCTTGTGCCTTGTACTTATTGATTGCTGGAAATAAAATACTGAAGTGTCTTTGGTCTTCCTTGTCAGTGCTGTTGTAGGAGATAATCTGGCTGGTTGTTAGTTTACAGGCTGAATTTAACATTTATGCTTTTTGACATGTAAAACACCAGATTTATCTCTTGGAGACACCTTTGAAGAAATGGGTGTGCCCGAGAAGACTGAAGTATGCTTCCTTCCTCTCATCTGGCATTGCCTGTTTTTACTGACCTTCATCCTTCAGGCCAAAGCAAGTTTGTTTGCAGAGACGTGCTTTGGTGGAAAATCAGATGTAGAAAGGGAAGTTTGATATCTTGCAGGAAATCACACTTGTTTTTGTAACAGAGCGGCCTGGAGCCTTAAGCAGTGTGCTGCTTTTTGTTCTGCTTATAAGTCAAATGTTTCCTGTGTGAAACCAGTTCTTAATTTATCACAAGTAAAAGGGATTTTTATTTAAGTAATACAAAACATGAGCTGTTGAACTATTGTAGTGAGTCTAACTACAACTAAATATATCTTTTGTATTACAGAGCTGCTATATTTCATGAGCTGGTCTACAAACAGACAAAAATACCATCTCAGAACCAAGAACTGATATATGAAGGTCGGCGTTTAATACTAGAGCCTGGCAGATTGGCACAGCACTTCCCCAGAACAACTGAGGAGAATCCCATCTTTGTAGTAAGCAGGGAGGCGCTGAACATTGTCGGATTAATCTATGAAGAAGGTATATGAAAGTCATTTCCCCTTTCTTACATCTATCTTTTGTAAATAGTTTTGCATTATATAGTTATGGTTGTGTGTCTGTTATGTCTTGGAAATAGAGTGTTTGAAAATTTTCTCTGCTGATACCTGAAGTTCTAAGTATGCAGCCCATTTATTTTTCAAATATGCTGAGTATGCAGCATATTTTTACAGAAACAGTAGCTGCTTGTAGTGTTCCCAGTGCTGTGAACCTGAGCATTTGTGTGTTAAGATGTGGTGGTACATACGGAGTTGTAAATTTTTTTGAAGCATGACACTTTGACCAAGTAGAAAGGAGAATTACAGAATGCAGTTCAAAGCTGGTTCTTTTACTCCATTACTAAGTGGAAATTCAGGTTTTCCTTTGGTTTTTTGTTTTTTTTTTTTGGTCATGAATGTGGTTGGTCTTTCTGTTAACAGAGGAGGTCTTAACAACTTGCCTTTCCTTAGAAGATAAGGTAATGCCATAACAGATAAAAAAGCAATTAAATTTTTGCAATTTCATTTATCATTGAGAGGCTTATAGAGGGCCCTATGCCAGAGCCCTTTTTTATAAGAGATGAGCTGGAGGCCGTGTCTCCAGTTGAGAGCTCAGTGTTGCTTTTGTCAGTATGTCTCACATACTGACGACTCAGGCCGTGGAAGGATCAACAGGGCCTTTATATCGTGTCAGAGCTTTCTGGAGGAGTCAATGAGCATGAGAACAAGGGAGACTCAGCTGACAGAGGCTACCTTAGGTTTTAAAAAGCTATTTGGTGAAGTCCAGCCCTTCAGCGTCTCAATGAAACTAAGCAGCCATGAGATGAGGAAACGGTCTCCCCTGCAGGCAAACAGGGGGATGAAAAACAGAAATACGAGTTTGGCTTTCTCAGCGGGGAGGGGTCACTAGTGGAGACCTGTATGAAGTCTGTGCTGTGCAGCATGGTCAAAAGTGAGTCTGGAAAAGGAAGTGAAGGACAGTTTGCTGAAGATAGCACGTGATTTAAAGTACTGAAGACAAAGGCTGGTTTGGAAGGTGTGCATGAGAACCACGCAATGCTAAAAGGCTTGGCAGTAACAGATTAGATGAAATTCCATGTAGGTACACATAAAAGCAGTGTGCAGGGTGGGGAAGGGAAGCAGTCTGAACTTTTAAAGTCTCTTACAGAAAAGAAGAAAAATACAGATGTTTGTTTTATGTTTCAGTTTTACTTCCTAAAGTACATCAACGTTATGATTTGGATGGGGATGCCAGTATGGCTAAAGTGAGTAATTACGATTGTAATTTATATATCTGTCTCAGATAATGATACTTAAATGAAAGCTACTTGATTTTCAAATTAATAACATTAATGAAACTATTTTTAATATGCTAGTGAGGACTCTGATTGACAAAATGTATTTGTTAACAAAGGCTCCAAAAGTATGTTAAAGCCATACTTTGTATACAGAATATGTTTGTACGTATTTAAAACAACAACAAAACAACAAACAACAACAAACCCAAAAACCAGCCTTCTGAAGTCCGAGGGCTTTGTTATTGTGTAGTTCAGTGAGGGGAAAGTAGCCTGCCATTTCGGAGTCCTGAAGTTAGCTAGAAAGTTCATAATATCCCCTGTGATGGTGCAAAATTTAACGTAAGAAAAATAACTTTCATCTTTCTCTCACAAGAGAGGAGTCTCTAGGACTCTGCAGAGAGTGGAATTTCTGTTGCCGCTCCTGCAGATTTTCAGAACCTGTGAGAGACAAGTAGAGGATGTTTCTTTCTTTTGGTCATTTTTCTAAAACTACTGGATGTATGCATTTCCATGCTTTGACATTGTGACCGCCATTTACACTAAGCCTATAAAATACTGGCTGCTATGGACCTTGGTATTCAGGCATGGTAGTCCTGAAAGCATATGTATCTTTGAATAATGGAACTCTCTAACATTAATAAACAGAAAGCCATCCGTTGATATTAATTATTTAAAATATTGTAAATTAAAATTTCAGAAAATTTGTTCACAATTCTAAATAGTGCAGCAAACTTGTAAATGGAATTAGGTGAATTCCTAGGCTTAGAATTTAACAATGTGTCATTTTTCACATTTCTTCTAATGTATGTGTCTAATTCCTAAACTACTGAAGAAATGTGCTTGTGACTTTCCAGAAATTAAAGTAAATCCTGCGAGTAGGTGGTGTTGTTTTTGTTTATAAGAGACTTATTTTCATCCCTAACAGGTATTTCAGCATAACTGGAAAAACTCACTCCCATGTTTAGCTCTGCCTCCATAATGAGTGCTTGGTTATCTCCCCACTAAAGTTTGGGCAGTTATGCATTTTAAACTACCATCTTCATATTGCTCTTTTATTAATCTGTGTTGCTTTGTTGGGAGTGACTCGATACAGTTGTTAAGGGAATGCCAGATTAGTAATAATGTTTTTTGTTTTTTCCACCAGGCAGTAACAGGAATCGTATGTTATGCCTGCAGAGTTGCTAGTTCTTTGCTACTTTACCAGGAGCTGATGAGAAAAGGAATACGATGGCTAATGTAAGCAACTGATGGCATTTAAGTGTGTTTTGGTTTTGTCAGCTTTTTGGGTGTTTTTTTAAATTCAGATATGCCTTGCTTATTAATACAAAATTCTATGATCTCATGGTATCTTGGGAGGTTTTCTTTCTTCCTTGAATATGAATAGGAGTTCTGAAAAATTACTTCTGAATTTTTTTTCTTCTCTCTGTCGTTAAGGAAACAAAAATATTTTTTTCTGACAATAATGTTTATGTATTTGCAATCTGACTTTTTTCTGTGGGCAATTTAAGTCTAACTTCCAGTAGCATGCAGGTACAATTGAGCATCTTGCACAAGGTAGATTTTAACACTAATGCATTTTCTAACTGAAAGCAATTCTTATAAGCAGTTGTTACTGTAGATATACTGTTGTATTACTGATTGCTGATAAGATGGCAGTTGAATACTTTTGTAGACTAATGCTTCACTTTTGTAGTGAAATAATCAAGGATGATTACAATGAAATGGTTCATAAAAAGACAGAGGTTGTCATCAGGCTGGATTGCTGCAGCAGAAACATTGAGAAGGCTGAGAAAATGTGAGTAGAAGCACTACACTGTATACATTGATTTTTTTTTTTCATTATCCTCTTTAATGACAGTGGTATTGTTAGTTATGTTTATTTACAGGGTTTTTAAATGTAAAATTAAACTTGAATTTACATGGATTTGCTGATGGCAGTGACAAGCAGATTTAGTAATATGCTTTACTCAAATTTGAGTGTTAATATTGCTGCTTAATGTAGTGGAAACAAGTAATTACTCCTGAGTAGTGATTGTACGTGTCCTTTTTCTCCTTTCTCCGCTGACTCGGCTCATTTGCTGCTGTTGACTTTGGAAGCTATACCTTGGATGAAGAATCTAGTAGCTTTCCTTTTATTAGTGCTTTAGTCACTGAGTTTGCTTGTGTGTGTTAATTAAGGATGACTTTAAACAGCCCTTTCACAGCTTTAACACTGTCCCATTTTCTGCATGGAAGGAATTTTAATGTTGAAATATAACATAAAGCAGCTGAAAAATAGCAAACAAAACTCCACAACCAAAAAAAAATCACCAAAAAAACAAAGCTGCATTAGGTTATCACTAGATCACAGTGCATGCAAATAGGGCTGCCAAAAGTAATCTGCACAGGAAATTTTACTTGTGCCATTTTAAAGTGCCTGGCTATTATGTTGTTCAAATGGCAGAGGTTTGTATCACAGAACCTCATTGGTGCCCATATGGACCCATTTAGATCTCTGTAGTAGAAAGGCTTTTTAGAGTGCTTTTCTTTAAAACTGACAAAATGTGTAATAAGGAGCAGCTTAAAGAAGTGTTACCTTCCAAGTTCCAAAGACCACAGAAGACGCTTATTTCTCTTGTCTCCTATTCCAAGGAAGCAAATGTTTTCCAGTGGTCAGACTGTTCTGCCTTACCTCTTTCAGTCAAGTGTTGTCTGTAGGAGGTGGGATTGCACCATTGAATTCTCCCTCCAAGTTTCATTTTGTCTCTATCCCGATCTCTGTTACATCTCTGAGTCCCACTCAGTGTCCAATTCTCAGTCACATTCTTTTCCACTTTTCAAGTGTCCTTGCAGTGTTTTGCTCAGCCTTTTCCCAAGCTAGCATTAGCTCCATCTTTAAGGTGTGTTGTCCTTACGCAGTCTGATACAAACTTTAAACCCCAGGTCTTCATAGGATTCTCCTTTGGGTAGTTGTTTTCCTATTCAGCCTACTGCCAGTCTCCTTCAAATGCTGTCTTGGTCATAGGATTATCTAAACTTGCCTGAAAGTACAGGCGCCCAACAGGTGATTAATGCACACATGTAGAACCATTGGGTTTGCAGAGCAGACTTAAGAACAGTCTTAAGCCATGCTGGAGCTGTGCGAGTTGAAGACCTTGTATGTAGTAATTAGGGATACCCGAGGGTTTGTCCGATTTGCTGTGTGCATGCCAAATGTACAAACTGACACAGCTGGACCTCAAGGTGCTTCCTTTAAATAAACACACCAGCAATGAAAGTGGCAAAGTTGGTAACTAGCAAGTATGCCTGTGTAGCCTAGTTAGAAAACATCAGGGCTGTAATCCAAACTCTTTATCCAAGCTAGTTTACTCTAGTCCACAGGACTCTGTTTGGTTCAGATAGCTTCCTCCTGCATTCTGCCACAGAAGAAAGCCACTTAGAGCTCAGAAGAAACTGCTGGAGGTTCTGGTTTGTGACTCGAGTGCATTCAGCAGCATCTCAGAGCAGCAGTTTGAACATAATTTGTTTTCAAACTGCTGCTCGGAGATGTTTGCGTGTGGCCTTTCAGCCTCCTACAAAGGGGCAGGATTTTCAGTTTATTTGACTTCAGAAGACTTATGGAGTTAGGAATGGACATGGCCTCTTGTTTGTCTTCCCTTTTCAAGGCTCTGCTTCAAAGCACAACAATGCAAACCTTTTATTTAAAAAGGTAAACAAAGTATTGAACTTGAACAAAGAAAGTTTTTTTTTTTGAAAGCAGCTGAACTGGTTTGGTGCTGCTTTTAAAAATGAAATGTGCCTGAGACTCAACAGGAAAAATACTGTCGCAAATGATTTATTTGGCACTTGGGCTATGATCATATGGAAAGTATCAGTATAAACAGATGGTGTTACCTACCCATCCTTTAACGTTTTGGTAACTCCACCTTTCCAGTAAGTTTCCACAGAAGAGCATTCCACGGGAGCATTAGTTTGTTGTGTGTCATTGACTACTTTAAGTAACTTCAATTTGGTAACCTTTTGAATTATTTGATGAGAGGAAATCATTTTCCGCTGCCTGTCAAGTGCAAGTAATGAGAATAGAAAAAGAAGTCGGGAATGGAAGTTTCAAACTTCTATTTAACAGTTTAAATGTAGGAACTGTTTCCATTATTAATGGCCACTTAAGGTTGTCAGTGTTTCATGGCTGCTGTCTGACAGATACTGTATTTCATAGAAAAAGTAGTTATTGTTACACTCTAGATTCATGGAATATTTTGAGTGTAATCACTGCTTGTTTATTTTCTTTTTTAACTGTACTGATTTTTGTGGTCAGATATGAGAATTTGATGCAGATCAACCTGGAAGCATCAGAAGTGGATGAAATTTCAGAGATACACACAAAACTCTTGCGTGTAAGTGTTTTACAAAACCTATGTTATTCTCAAAATCGTTTTCTAAAGAAAAAGCCAAACATGCAATAATACAGTTTTTCTGTGAGTAACAACTCTTTCAAAGTAACTTTCAAAGAACTGTCAAAGTAATTTCTAAGCTGATAAAGGTTGTTAAAATGTCCATACTGAGGTGTGGTATCTTTCTGAAAACAGGTAAATCGTTTTATTTGCCTGATGAGGTGAAAATAATAAGTTCATGAAAATTCATTCTCATTTTCTAAAATACTCAAGTAAAAAATTAAAACCACTAAATATCTTTTACCTTGCAGTTTTTTCCCTTTCCTTAAAGAATTTAAACTGCTTTGTTGGCTTTCTAAAATGATACATACACAAACACACTTCAGAGTGATTTGCTTTGAAATTTCCATCATGTTTCCAGACAAGTAAGGAGAAATTTGAAAATAACTTTACACACTGGTGTCCTGGGAGCCAGATATAAAATTCTCCATTCTAAAAGCAAAAGGTGATAAGTGTGTTTTTTATTTTGAAGGTTGTGTGAACTGCAGAGAAGGAAAGGTATGAATCACGTGGATAGTCATACAAACTCTTTAACAAACCAAAAGAACAATTGTAGAAGTAAATAGGGAACATATGAAAGGTAGAAGCATATTGTTGAAAGAAGTTAGATATTAACTAACAGAAATGCCAACATCAAAGATGATTTCTTTTTTTCTTTAATAATACCATGCTTTATTGACTTTCAGCAAAGCCTAGGCATATAATTGTATGTTTCTTTAATTAAGGTCAGTGAAACAAATGGGCCTGTAGTATTAACATGCTCAGTCTGTTTTCAGCCTTGAGTAATTTTTCACTTTACCCAGTGTTAGGACTGAACTTTCTTGCTCTTACGTAGCTCTCCAGCTCTCAGGGCACAATAGAAACTAGTCTTCAAGATGTCAAAACCAAACTTTCTCCTGGTGGTTTACTGGCTGACACCTGGGCAAATCAGGAGGGCATGCATCCGAAAGACAGAAAGTGAGTAACTCTATTAATTGTTTTCACGTGTTGAATTCTACGTCGAGTTGTCGTTCATAAAACTCATTAATAGGTACTTAAGTTTATATGTAAAATATCTCATTTTCTTCCTTCTGTCCCTCTAGTCCAGAAAGGCTGCAGGCACTGCTGTGTTCCATCACAGATATTTATTACCAGTTCAAAAAAGACAAAGCAGAGAGAAGTAAGTAACTTACTTGATTCACTTTTAACATAAACTGTAATGTAAAGCACAAGTCAGTCCTTGTTCCACTAGGATGTTTGTGGTAGGAATGGAGAATTAGTCAGGAACAGTGAATATATCTGTAGGTCTGTCTTAGTGAGATAACTGTCTTAAAGCCCGTATAAATGAAACACCACTATTAATCTCATAAATTTGAATGGGAAGACTGGACAGGAGGGGAAAAAAAAAGTAAACGACCCTTTTTACCTGGCAGGATAGGAAGAGGAAACCATATAGGAAATGGATAAACTTAGTAGAGTTTTATATAAATACAACTAACAGAATTAAACTGGTAACGTCTGTCATCTGCTCTGATCCTAGGGCTTCCTTACAATGAAGAACAAATTCACAAGTTTGACAAGTAAGTTTTGAAGTTACCTTTGGGAAATACCATGACTGCTTTCAGGTCCTTCAGGTGCTCTTGCCAATAACCTTCTGTGTTGATTTTTATTGTAAATGATAACCTCTTCGGGATTGCTTTGTAAAGATGCCCTTTAAATATCTTAAATCCATAGGAGTGCCAGGGTATGATAATGAGGTGCTTTCTGGCAGTGGAGTTGCCTGACTGACAGACCTTCTAAAAGTAGATGTGCAATACCTGTTCCTTACCCAGGTCTAACTATCTTATAGGGAGTACACTGGGGTTTTTTCCCCTGTTTTTTTAGGGCGGAAAAAGCCCTTGGTAAGGGTGAAGTAACTTTGTAACTAAGGTGGAGATAACTTTCGACAGATGAATAAAATACGGGTTAGCTGAATGAAATTCTAGAATGATTTAGTCTTCCAGGAAATACAGCACACAAAATAAATTTTAATGCAGTTCTCCATGCCTGTTTAAAATTGTCACTCATGAGAGAGAGAGGTGGCCACATTAAGTGTCTGTAGGTAACCTGGGTGTCTGGATTCCCATTAGGGTCTTCTGACTCTGCTCTTGAGCAACTGTAAACAGCTGCTTTGCTCATGCTGCCATACTTGTCTCAGGATCAATTCAGCTCATCATATGCAGGTGCCTGACACTGTTTAAGTTGCCCAAAGGTATCTGAGACATGCTCTGAGATCGGGAGATAGCACACAAAATGAATGGGAAACCTGCACCTTTATGGATAGACACTCGGAAGCAGGGCAGGATATCTTTGTGCATCTCAAGTGACGCTACTAGATGCCGAAGTGATTAAGTTATTCTCCCAGTGGCTGCTCAGTTGAGTGGTTCCCTAGACTTTGCTGAGTGCTAGATGAATTTAGACACTGCTGTTGTAATTTTCTAGAAATACTTGCTTTTGTTAATGGTAGCGTGGCTTCACTGACACACCAACAGGCAGCAGGCATTGGTGTTCTCACAACCGTGCCACTTGATTTTCCCACAGTGAAAGCTAAATGGGATAATTGCCAAGTGGAGGAGGGATTGCCTTCAGGTAAAGGACAGTAGGGGCAGGAAAGATATGTAAGACAGGTCTTGATTTGCTGAAAGAGACTTGGACACGTCAATGCCCTGCAACAGCAAGGGACTGAACTTCATGGGAGCGATAATGTAATCGATAATTTTGTCACATGTTCTTAAGGATATGGTTGGAAAACAGGCAAACATTGTGTTCCAATCAATAGCTCATTTTAAAACTGCACTCCCTTGGGCAGATTAAAGAAATCTTAGGGCTTTTTCTACTGCTCCAACTGTTTCCCTGCATTACTGTGTGAATAACACTAAATAGGCTTCATTTTCATGGTTTTGAATGCTGGTGTATCTTCTACCACACGTGTCTCCTTAGGATTATTCAGGTCAAATCCCAACTACATCTTACTTTACTTGATTCACCCCAGAGGGAACCGGGGGTGGCTTTTGTTAAGAAATGTGTGCCATTAGCAGCAGAGGCTGACCTTTGTAATATTTACTGTGAGACAGATGAGAGAGCAGCACTCGTTTCGGGTATTTTTTCTGGTTGAATGATCGGTGTGCATGCCTGATGACAGTCCAGCTACACTCTAGCCAGAATGTGATTAACCAATAGCTATCCGGCAAGACGTAATGGAATACCAGAAGCAGGTGTTAGGCTGTGGTGTCCCAGTATCCCTTAGTTTTGCTTACTGGTGGTAAGACAGCTACACTGGGATTACTGTCTGCAACACCAACAAGAATTGGGGTTTGTTTTGCTTTCCTGTCCTTACCTGCTTGCTTATTTCTCTTGTCATAAATTTAAGCTGACACAAAAATCCTGGGTTTTTTTCTTGCATGTATATTACTCAGCACAAAGGATTTTTCTTATGTGCTGGAAGTTCCAAGTATTTGCAGAAGGCAAGTGAGAAATAATAAGGGTTTCTCTCCTTTCCGTTTAGAGTCCCTTTTCCTTAAATATACCTACTTGGATAAATACTGACACAGAGAAGACATGTGACTGTTCATATACAAATAATTGCAACTAAATGCTTCAAGTAGTGGGGGGTTTTGTGTTTGTGGATTTTGGGTTATTTTTTCCCTGCTCTGGAATAGTTTTGAAAGAAACTGTCAGTTCATGCAGTGTGTTGAATTCTTACCCATTACGCAGCATGTGTGGCTGAAGGGGTTTTAAGTCCACATACCTCTTCTCCAAGTTTCAGAAGGTAAGTTGGAGGAATGGGGTTTTGAAAGCAGTGTAACACTATTCCAGTTGTTTCTGTGTTGCAGGCAGAAGCTGTATTTGCATGCTACAAAAGCCATAGCGCTATTCAAAGATGAATGTGTCAGCAAGTATGATGCGTTTTTGGACAAGGCTGAGGACTGGACAAGGCAAGCTGTTGATTTCTTTTCTATTTGGTAATGTTCACTGCACCGGTTGTATAAAGGAAGCTCTTAAAAGAAAACGTCTTTTCTTCTAGGAAAATGCTTCACACAAGGAAGCAGTTACTGGCTCTCACCAACCAGTGTTTTGATATTGAAGAAGAGGTATCCAAATACCAGGATTATATAAATGAGGTAGACTGCTGCAAAGTTATGTAAAGTGTTTGCATAGATAAGACTATTCCACGTTTTTTAACGTAGATAGTGCTGTTTATAACGAGTCTTACATTAATGCAGTCATATTAAAACGTGGACCTGCATGGATGTGGTATTTGGTCTGTAGTAGTTTCATTACTGATGTCAGAGTGGTGTAGAGTGCTGTGATTTTTTTTTTTTTAATTCTGACTTGATTTTAGAGTTTGGTTTGGGTTTTTTTGGCATGAGTTTGTTTTGGGTTTTTTTTGGGGGGGTGGTTTTTTTAGTTGCCCCTCTTTTTTTTTTTTTTTTTGGTAGCATTAGCATTCCCCCCCAAAAATATACGTGCAAAGGGATGTGGGTTCATTGAGAAGTGTTCTATGTAACTGTTACCATAATGGTGTCTGAGCACCTGGAGGATTCTCTTAGTACTCTTAGAAAGCATAAAAACACTACTCCCCTGTTCAGGATTATTGGGGACTTGCTAAACTAATGCTGCTGATGACATGAAAGAAAATGTTTTGTTAATATTTGGATGGTGACTGCACGATGCAAACTGCTCAATTTTGAGGTAATTCTGATAAAAGGAGAGCATTTTCATGCAGTAAAACTATTATTCTTTAAAAAGGAAACATGAATGAAATAAAAGCGCCTGATAGGTGTAAAAGAAATTTAGGAAAGGTGGAGAGCAGTATTTCACTTGTTACTTGTTTGTGTTTTAATAGCACTACCAAATTCATTTATTGATTAGGATCCTGTTGCCTTAGGATATCTACCAACATAACAAATAGATAATTCTTCCTTTTGAGAGTTTATTATGAAAGTTAAGAAGTTGGAACAAATCAGGGAACTACAGGTTGTGTCCCTATAAAACTTGCTGTGATGGGCTTAACTTGGGGAATATCGACTGCCTTAGCACTGTAATGATTTGATGAGGCATCGTAGCAATGGAGAATTTAAAGAAGGATTTTAAGGTGGTGGTTGTTCAGGCCCAGTTGGCCACTAAGCACCAGGGGGCCACTTGCTGCTTGTTCACCCCTCCCCTGGTGGGATGGGGAGGAGAAAATCTAAGGAAAGGCTTGTGGGTCGAGACAAGGACAGGGAGGCTCACCAGTTATGGCCATCAATTTAATTTATTACCAATCAAATCTGGGCAGGATAATGAGAAATAAAAAACAAAACACCTTTCCCTCACCCCTCCCTTCTTCCCGGGCTCAGATTTGCTCCCCATTTCTCTACCTCCTCCCCTCCAGTGGTGCAGAGGGACGGGGAATGAGGGTTGTGGTCAGGCCACCACACGTTGTCTCTGCCGCTCCTTCCTCCTCAGGGGGAGGGATCCTCACACTCTGCCCTTGCTCCAGCCGGGTTCCCTCCCACAGGAGACAGTCCTCCATGAAATTGCCCGACGTGAGTCCTTCCCACAGGCTGCAGTTTCCACACAAACTGCTCTGGCGTGGGTCCCTTCCATGGGGTGCAGTCCTTCAAGAGCAGCCTGTTCTGGCTCCGGTTTCCCAGAGAGTCATGGCCACCTTTGGTCGCAGCCGTCTGCCCTGGCTCCTGTTGTCTCTCACATCCTACCCCTTTCTCCAGGGGTTCTTTGTTTTCCCCTCTTAAATATATTTACCACAAAGGCACTAATTAGCTGGGCTGTGGCCAGGGGTGGGTCCAACTTGGAGCCAGAGAAGGTCCTAGCAGTTTCTCACAGGAGCCACCCCTGTAGCGCCTCCCCTGCTGCCAAAGCCCACCCCGCCAAACCCACTGCAAAGGCGGACAGGACAGCAAGATACACATGACAACTCGTATGTAACTTACATTTCCTTTTTATCTGTTACAGTTACAAGATGCTCTGCCACAGAAAATGCTTGCAGCTTCCAGTGGGATGAAACATAAAATGAATACCGTCTATCCAAGCTCAAACACATTAGTGGAAATGACTCTTGGGTGAGAAATGATTAATTGTACTGATGTGATAGTCTACCTGTTACACAGGTGAATTGGAAAAAGAAATAATTCTGGTTGACAGAGATTGAAATAGAAAATTCTTGATCTTAATACAGCAGAAAACCACTTTATGTGGGCAAATCAGTAGATGACAGGGTCCCTTACTCTGTATATAATAGGTTGCTGAAAGCTGTGTGCTGGTGAGGGATTGTAGCCAATTACTGTCCCTACAAATTATAACCTTTCTTTTGCTTCTTGTTACTACAGCATGAAGAAACTAAAGGAGGAAATGGAAGTGGTTGTTAAAGTGCTGTCTGAGAACAATCACATTTTGAAAGGCAAGCAGGTTTTTTTTTTTCCCTTTTTGGGCTGATGCTAGGAACAGGCTTAATTTGGTACATTTTAGAGATTCAGAACTTAAGCTAAGAGATGATAGAGATGATTCTATAATCTCTTCAACTGTAAATATGATTTGAACTTCTGATCTGAGGTGTAACAAAACAGAAAATGTATTCAGAATCTTGAAACATTACTGTAAAATCATTCTGACACAGCAGTCGTGGCATTTTTGTTTCAGGTTACTTATGTTTAGCTAATAAAGATATCTGTTGCACAGACAGATGAATTCTGAATCTAAACACAGTACTGTTGCAGCAATACAGTGGTGTCTTCAACTCCTCACTTTTAGATACAATTTTTAACGCCTGTGGAATCATACCAATCTGAATGACTGATTTTGCAGTTTTCAGACTGCATTAAGTGAAGTGAAGAGAAAGAGGCAAATGTACTTCTTACAGTCCTGAGAGGATATTGTCGTTAGCACACACCAACTGACTTTGCTTTTTTCGCTATGATGATGATGAAATATATGAAAATGATGATCTCCTGAAAGCTTCAGGGTAAAGTGCTGGTAGAGCTGAGTTCAGGTTCAAGCTGAATTGGTTTGGTTTTGTTCCTCACCCCCAGTCCCATACTCAGAGCATAGAATCCTCTCTTCTGTCTTCTCTGCACATTCAAAAGTTGGACACCAAGGCATGTATTGGCCTGTGCCAAGGGACAGGAAAAATCCAGAAGTAAATGATAATGAATTAAGGATGGATTGATGCTGCAAGCTAGTCACTCACCTAAGAATACGCTGGTTTTTCGTTGTAGATTTGGTGCTTTGACTATGGACGGCGGCCTGCGGAACATGGACTGCATCTAGCCTTCCAAGGACCTGAAGAGGACTTGTTAATTTTTTTCAAAGGGAAAAAAATACTATTGGGACTTTTAAAGGCAGATAATAAATCTGTATCCAGGTTTTCTTTCCCCTCTACAACTGTAGTATTACCAAAAAATGTAAATATGTATAATATGTAAATATTTTAAAAAATATATATCTTTTTTTGGTCAGTGTTAGAATAGAAGTACTCCTGACAGGGAATTTGGCCCCTTGGAGGATCCCTGATGAAGTCCTAAAGGAACAAGTGTTGTTGATGAAATTGAGATTTGCTTGATTTTAATATTGCCTTTTTTTTTTTTCCCCAGAATGCAATTTAGTCTCTATTGCAAGGGGATTTGCAGGACTCTAAACGTTATGAATGCTCTTTAAAGGGTGGCTTAGTTTTCCCTTAACCACCACTGTTATTTTGGAGTCTGGCTGAATGACGTCATCACCGAACATGATGACTGTTTTAAATGAGAAGTTTCAAATAAGTGTGAGTAGGGACTAAAAACGCGGATAGGGAATGTTAGTTCACGCCTCCTTGAGGAAACAAAATCATTATATTTTCCGAAGTCCCTCCCCATATGTGGTGCCATGTTCTCTGTAATCATTTGACTGTTCTGTATATGGAAGTTTTGCACTCCAGGTTGTCAGACAATGTAAAAATGCCTTGTTTAGAGTACAGCATTTTCAGAATTTCTCTGAAATCTTGTTGCTCACCACAAGAGAAGTGGGTTCTTCAAACAGTGTGTTCAGAATCCTGTTTGCAGGCATAATTTTTAGAAAAGGTTAAAAATCGGTATTAGGAGAATTTGTGGGCAGTCAGCTAGCATCATGCCTCAGTGGTAACTGAATACTGGAAAAATAAGTTTCTGGTCTAGATCTTGAAAAGTAAAAACACCCAATGCCAACTTAACGACTGAGATACCAAATTTAGGTGAAAATTACTAAGACTATATAGTTTCCAGTATCAGTGTTTACTGCTTTCAGCACTGCATGAGTGGGTTGCAGAGATGCAGAATGAAAGAGTCTGCTCCAAAATATGTAGGTGAGGAGCAATATAGGAGGAAAACAAACAAACAGAAGGTCAGCAAACATCCCTGCCTTTGTTTGGGTACTACAGGTGTACTTAATTGGCTCAAAGGAAGAGCATGTAAATAATGCAGGACTCATTCTGAATGAGAAAACTTGCAGAAAACTGGCCACAGATGTCCAGTGGTGTCCAGTAGCACTTCTGATTGCTGTAGTGCATCTGTCAGAAGAGCTGGACCAACTGTATTCAGAGTTGTCCATAATTAATGGTGCACCATTTGGGTATGAGCTGAACAGCGGTAACCCATGATGGCATCTGATAGTTTTGTGCTGTTTGTTCCCTGCTTATCTGCCCAGGTCAGAACACAAAACTTTTCCGTTGCCTTTTTTTTTTTTTTAATTTGAATAGAAACTTATGAAATCTAATTGACCCTCTTGTTAAAAAAAGGGGAAACTCACTGCCTTGATGTCTGAGGCCTGGGCTGTCCAGTGTTCTCGGTGAGAATCGAATAGTAAAAGGGAATTCGGATGCATTTACACCCACCTGAGCAGCTTCTTTCTTTGCAAGCTTTGTCCCCCCAAAACCTAGCTATGCAGAAGGAGTGGGACAGTTGGTTACATGCTGTTCCTTGGTCAGCCGTGGCTTTCTTAGTGGTAGAATCACGTCTACCTGGAAGGTTCTATTGCCTGCTTGTACATTCATGTCCACAGTCTCTCTGGGTGTCAGTAGGACACGTGTGTACCTGTTCAAAGAAGCGGGCTCAAACTGGGCATAAATTGCATTTTTTTTCCCCCAATATTATCTCTGTAACACGTTGTTGTTTCAAAGGTTCTTGATTTTGAAAGAAGTCAAGTGTTAGTCGGAACATACCGCTTTCAACTTCCTTATACCGAAGCAGTCTGAAAAAGTTACTTGTAGTGACAATGCAGTCTGTATCTTGAAGTACGTGTGGCGTTTTTACATGCTTGAAAATATTTTGCCATGTTTAATGCTGATTTTAAACACTGCTGGCTTTAGTGTTGCTAAATACATCAGTGATCTTAATCTGGTCAAGACTTCTTTCTCTAAAGCCATTTTAACCGGGCAATAGCTAAGGAACTTGAAGTAATGGGTTCATGATCTACTGATTGTGCTCTTAGGAAGCAAATACACTTGCCAAGTCAAAGTGTAGTGCACAGTACTGTCCATTTTTGGCTGAAACAAAGTGTCCTGATACTCTGTCATCTACTGATTTGCCAAAAGAAGTAGTAGAAAGTAATGTATGGGTCTTCCTCTTGAAGCTGGTTTTGGGGGGGTTTAGCTTAGTCTGTTAATGATCTGTTCCTTGCACAAACCTGTCTTCATATGAATTGTGAAAATGCATGAGTGAATGACTTAATGGCATAAATCCATCATCAACCACCTGCTGTACCGTGTGCACTTACTCCTGGGTCTCCTCCACAATTTCACTTCCTGTTAACTTCCATATTACCATATAGTTTTTACTTCCTCAGAAGTACAATAAAAAGCCTGAAGTTGGAAAGTGCGGCTTGGCCAGCATTAGCCCTCGACAGCGGAATCACTACCACAGGCTGCATGGCACAGACACTAATCCTTTTCATCCATTTTTTAACCTCTCTGCTGACGCCTGCTCTGAACACTTCGCTCTCTGCAGCAGTGGCCAAATTCCGGGTCTCTGCTCAGTGTGGAACAGTCAGCTGGTGGAGCTCAATCAGCACTAATTTAGTTAATCGCTGCAGAAGTGATAATCATAGAGTAATTTTGGATGTAGCACTAGGCAAGGATTAAAAAGGCTGAATGGAAAAGATTAGTTTGGGTGGGTTTTTTTAAGCTGGAAGCCTAGAAGAGGGGAGATGTGGCATAGGCTGCCGTGGCATCAACCTGTCTGGGTAACATGAAACGCAGGGCTGTACCGAGCAGCAGCACAGCCTGCTGCCCCTGTGAAATCCCTTCCGGGGCAGCATGGCAGTCGGTTCAGAGCGCGCTAAACCCGCCACGGCTTCCAGCTGGGCACTGGGACAGCCAGCCCAGGCTGGGTGGAGGAGACCCTGCCTGTGCCCAGCCCCAGCCCTTGTAAACCGGCCTGTAAAGATGAAATACACTGGCCACCCAAAGATAGCTTAGGGGAGAAAAAAGAATGGCTGGGGTCTGGAAAACTCACTGAAGGGGAACTGGGGAAATATGGGAGGTGACTGGATGGAGGAAGAAAAGGTTGGAAGAAGTAGGGAGCAAAAGCGTTCAGGGGTGTGAAGGCTGTTAGAGAGGATCAGCATTCACCGCTGTGTCTGTGGGGAAAGGAATAGAGACTGTGAGTACAAACTGTACTGCGTGAAACCAAAAAACCCGGACAAGGCATTTGGAAAAACCCTTCTGTGAGTAGAGAGGGCCAAGAGCCAGAACAGCTTGTTGTGGGAACTGAGCAGCGGGGGTTTGATGGCAGCTT